ACCTATCATTACATATAGATGGCTGCTTGTAAGCTTTTAAGAACCCAATGACGTGATTTCTTGACTGCTGCTTCTATAGGTGTTGACTGTGCACCAAGTAAAATAAAATCTTTGACAACTTCAATCTTTTCTCCATTTATCATGATGCTGCTTATTGATCCAGTTTTGAGAATTTTCATTTTCTTTATGTTGAGGTATAATTCATACTGCAAACTACAGTCTTTAATCTTCATCAGTAGGTGGTGCTTCAAGTCATCTTCACTTCTAGCAAGCAAGGTTGTGCCATCTGCATATCACAGGATGCTAATGGGTCTTCCTCCAATCCTGATGCCATGTTCTTCTTCATATAGTGCACGTCTCAGATAATTTTCTCAGCATACAGATTGAAATAAGTATGTGAACAGATACAACCCTAACATACATCCTTCTTGATTTTAAACCAGGCAGTATCCCCTTGTTCTGTTCAAATGACAGTCTCCTGGTCTAGGTACAGGTTCCTCATGAGCACAACTAAGTGTTCTAGAATTCCTGTTCTTCTCAATGTTATCCGTAATTTGTTATGATCTACATAGTTGAATGCTTTTGCATAGTCAATAAAACACATTATATTTCTGGTATTGAAATATGTTTCTGGTATTCTCTGCTTTCAGTCAAGATCCATCTGATATCAGCAATGATATCCCTCATTCTATATCCTTCTAAATCCACCTTGTATTTCTGGGAGATCCCTGTCAATATACTGCTTCAACCGTTTTTTAATTATCTTCAGCAAAATTTTATTTGCATGTGATATTAATAATATTGTTTGATAATTTCCACATTCTGCTAGATCACCTTTATTTGGAATGGGTACAAATATGGGTATCTTCTGGTCAGTCATCCAACTTACTTGGCATAGATGAGTAAGTGCAGCATGGCATCCCTTCGTTGAAACATTTTAATGGGTATTCTGTCTATTCCTGGAGCCTTGTTTTTGCCAATTCCTTCAGTACACCTTGGACTTCTGCCTTCAATACCATTGGTTCTTGATCATTTGCCACCTCCTGAAGTAGCTGAATATCAACAAATTCTTTTTTGTACAGTGATTCTGTGTATTCATTCCATCTTCTCTTGATGTTTTCTGCATCATTCAATATTTTGCCCACAGAATCCTTCAATATTGCAACTCAAGCCTTAAATTTTTTCTCAGTTCTTTCAGCTTGAGAAATGCTGAGCATATTCTTCCCTTTTGGTTTTCTAACTCCAGGTCTTAGCACATTCCATTATAATAGTTTATTTTGTCTTCTTAAGCTGCTCTTTGAAATCTTCTGTTCAGCTCTTTTATCTTGTCATTTCTTCCATCTGCTTTAGCTACTCTCCATTCAAAGGCAAGTTTCAGAATCATCCATTTTGGCTTTTCCTGTCTTTTTAATGACATTTTGCTTTCTTCATGTATGATATTCTTCATATCCTCTCACAACTCATCTTCTTTTTTATCACTGGTATTCAGTGCATCAAATCTATTCTTCAGATGGTCTCTAAATTCGGGTGGGATATAATCAAGGTCATAATTTGGATCTCATGAACTTGTTTTAATTTTCTTCAGCTTCAACTTGAACTCACATAGGAGCAACTGATGGTCTGTTCCACAGTCAGCTCCCAGCCTTCTTTTAGCTAAAGATATTGAGCTTCTCCATCACCAGTTTCCACAGATGGACCTGGTCTGATTCCTTTGTATTCCTGGCAAAGTCCACATGAATAAGCTGCCTTTTATGCTGTTGAGAAAAGGTATTTGCCATGAATAAGTCATTTATTTTGCATAATTCTATCATGAGATCTCTGGCATCACTTCTATCACCTAGGCCATATTTTCCCACTATGATTCTTCTTTGTTTCCAGCTTTTGTATTCCAATCACCAATAATCACCAATACATCCTGATTGCATGTTTGGTCAATTTCAGACAGCAGAAGCTGGTAAAAATCTTCAATTTTTTCATTTTTGGCCTTAGAAGTTGGTGTGTAAATTTGAATTATATTAGAATTAACTGATCTTCCTTATGTTGTTGTTGTTGTTAAGTGCCGTCGAGTCGTTTCCGACTCATAGCGACCCCATGCACAGCAGAACGAAA